CGCGGCCGATACGGAGCCTCCTCCCGGCGCCGCCGACCTCCCGCCCACCGCTCGCACGAAGGCGCCCAGAGGCTTGGCCACCAGCCCCTCGGCCACCTCTCCTGCCTGCACCAGGTACCTGTGGCACAGAAGACCCGTGGGTGACAGTCCCCAGGCTGCAGGGACGGCCGTCACCACCACAGGGTCCTGTCTCCCCCAGCAATGTTGTCCCCGACAGCTTTTCATCAACGCTTACGGTTGGCTGAGAAGGGGGTAGCCCCAAAAAAAACAGCAGGAGTGGGGAGAGGACAAGGATGAGGACAAGGACAAGGACAAGGACAAGGACAAGGAGACAGCCAGCTGGGGAGCACATATTCTGGTGGTGATGGGGGTTGCTCTGCATTAGACAAGGTGGGATCGTGCCAATGGCAACGTGCCTCCAACCACGTCCTTGCTGGGAGAAGACAAGGAAAAAGTCCGTGTCCCGATTCCATGGGTGGATTTCCCTTCCTCCTTCCCTACAGGTGTGAATTTTGTGTGTCCCCTTGGAGGGCAGCTGTGAGCTGGAGGCTGTGACGTCTGGGCTGGCGATGGGGTGGAGGATTTAACTCGCCAATGCCCAAAAGTTTGGCCACGAGACCTGACCCTGCTGCCTGCCCGAGTGACCTGGAGTCTCCCCACCCCACTTTCACACCCATCAGCCTTCTGGAGCAGGGCCCACACCACGCCTGCACGACACCCAGCAGAGATGTCCCCTGGGTGCAGGTGCCACTCCCAAAACAAGCTGAGCACAAGGCCCAGGCAGCGGGATCTCCTGTCTGGGAAGGGTGGGCACCACGATGAGGATGAGGATGGAGGTTCCTACTCGATGATGCGCTCCCGGGGGTGAAATGGAGACAGGGAGTCCAGGCCCAGCCGACTGACCACCTGCAAAGAGCACACTGCTGTGTCAGCCAGGTCAGATTAAACCCTTTTTCATCCTCATTCCCTGCTGTTAATTAATCATCAATGATGCAGCCCTAGGGCAGAGCTGCTCGGGCCACCACCCAAGGTGAGGGCAGTCAGCGTCACCAGCCTGTCCCATCCTAGACCTGGCAGCAGTGGCAGCTGATGACAAACAAGGGGAAACGACACCCATAAATGATTAGCTTGCTCTTATCTAGCACATTCCCCATAGGGTGGAAAAGTCCCTCCCTCCTGCAGCTGAAAAGCAGAGCCTGGCTGGTCCTTTCCAGCTCACGCCCGTCCTGGGGCAGTTTCCACAACACCACGAGCTGTCCTTGAGCTCTGGAGAGGTCTCCTTCCCCTCCTGGCCTCCACGTCGGCAAGCTGGGCGGCTGCTGCCTGCACTCTGCTCAGAAGAATCCACCTCACGGGGTGGATTCTCTGCTACCTGAGCATCTCAACGTCCTCAGGACAATAAAGCAATCTGTTCCACCCGCTGTGCCCCCACAGCTTGCCAGGCACCACCCCTGGAGACAAGGGTGATGCTTGGGGGCTGGAATGGTCCCAAATCTTTCCTCAGTGCCACTTTAGGAGGCTGGGTGAGGGGAGGACCTGCCTCTCTCATGACCCCATCCTTGTCTTGGTACCAGGAGGAGCCACGTTACCAGCTTGATCTTCTGTTCCTCCTCCAGGATGAAGAGATTTTCCTTCTTGATATAAAACTCGGCCGCGTCCAGCATGGCCTTCTTGGGGACAAGCCCCACCAGCTGGGATCCCACCACAGGGAGATTCAGTGCCTGTGAAGGACACCAGAAATGTGACTGTCCCCAGAGCCACCTGCCTTGACATCGCTAATCCCCCACCCTGGTGGTCCTCATCCCTTTCCAGGACCTGGGGGAGTCCATGGAAAAGTCTTTGATGGAGGACCTGGGGGCTAGCAGCAAGCTGCTGAGCTTTTGGGGATTTTGTGTCATTGGGAGCTCTGCCCAGCTTGAGCTGAGCATGAGATAAAGCAGAGCCTGACTTGGGGATGAGGAGGAAAACTTGAGAGAGAGCCCTCCTTGGTGAAGCCCCCCCTGAAACCAGCCCCCCACGCTGTCCTGTGCCACCCACCTCGGCGTCCCGGCAGACCTCCTCGTAGACAGCGTGGAGAGGCGTGGTCTCAAAATCCAGCAGGTTTGTGGAAACCTGGGCTACGTTCTCCTCCTCCAAATACCACCCGATGCCTTGCACCTTCTTCAAGCGCCCGGGCTGCCAAGAACCGACATGGTCAAGACACAGCCCTGGGAGGCACGGGGGAGAAGCAGCTCTGTCCCCTGCGTGACTACCTGCTCGGGCCCACGGCCCTGCTCGCGGAGGTTGAGGGCGATGCGGTGAGCCAGCTCCTTGGTGCACAGCAGGTTGATGTTGTAGGCGATGAGGAAGGTCCGGGCGCCCGTCACCGTGGCCCCCCACCGGGGAACGAAGGTCGCTGGCCCAAAATCAGGAGCCCACTCTGGTTTTGCCAGCTGGGAAGGACGGATGGAGAGGAGCGCACGGGTCGGCACCGCTGAGCAGCCGCAGCCGCCTCCGGGGTTGGCGGCACTCGAAGTGCTCCATCAGTTCTTCCGAGTGGGAGGGGATTGTGCCATCCCCTTTTCTGAAGCCAGGGAGGTGCAGCTCAGCTCTGCCAAGCCCACGCCACCCAGCTGGGTGCTCACCTTCTCGGGGAGAGCCTCGTACTCCCCAGCACGGATGGCAGGCAGGGCTTTCCTGCTCTCCTTCTGCGCCGCCTCTCCGTACAGGTAAACTGCAGGACAGAGCCAGGGCTGAGCACCACCGAGCAGGGGTTGGGTTTGTCCATCGGGGAGCAAATCCCCCTGTGGTCAAGCTTTTGCAAAAGGCACTCGGCTTCTCCACAGCTGGGGGGCGTGTGAGGTGGGGTGGGGTGGGTAGAGAGTCCTGCCCCCCACTCACCAGGCACCCCCAGCTCCGCTGCCAAGCGCTGCCCGAAGACGTGGGCGCAGCTGACGCACTCCTCCATGCTGACGTTCATCACTGGCACGAAGGGACAGACATCCAGGGCCCCCATGCGAGGGTGTTCACCTGGCCGCGGGGCAGAGGGAAGAGGGGAAGAGCTGGGAAAAGCAAGCAGACAAGGAAGGGGGACCGCCCTTCCCCAGCCTTTTATTTTTTCCAGACTGGGCACTGCCACCGCATGGAAAGCGGAGTCACAGCAGGGATGCTGCAGCAGCAGCCCAGGGACAGGAGGGACAGGGGCAAGCAGAGCTCAAGGACAACCTCTCTGGATCAGGAGGATGAGCAAGAGCTTTGCACGGTCCCATCACCCCCCATCGTGGCAGAGCTGCTGGCTGGGGGTGCAGCGACGTGCCACGCTCGGCCACCAGCAGAGCTCCAGCCACGCAGGCTGCCCCCAGAGCCAACCCCACAGGGCAGCCGAGGGTTGCTCCGTGCCCAGGAGGTGCCCCCGAGCTCACCCGTGTGCTGGCTCATGTCGATGAGCTGCCCAGCAGCACGGGCTGCGTTCAGGGCCCCCTCGACCACGGCCTGGGGGGACCCCACGAAGGTGTAGACGGTGCGGTTGGTGGAGGCGCCGGCGTCCACGTCCAGCAGCAGGCAGCCTGGTGTCCTGGAGATGGCCTGTCCCAGCGCCTCGACCACCTGCCGGGCAGCACCAGGGCCAGGAGGCTGAGCTGGGGATGTATTCCCTCCGCTCTCCCCCTTCCCACCTCCCTGAGGTTGGGGAGGAACCCCCACAATCAGCAGGGATGGAGCCCTGCGCTGCAGGGGATGCAGGAGCCAAAGGCAGGAGCATCCTGCTCCTTCCCAGGAGATATGGAGCAGCTCTGGCTCCCAGTGAGCCCCAGACCTGGCGTGGGGAGGGAGAGGTGCCTGGCTCTTGCTGCACACTAGAGAGCACCATCACAAATTGCTTTTCCTCAGGATACTGTCCCCTGCCAGTTTCAAACCAGATTTGGCTCTGCAAAGCCTGTTCCCTGAGGGTAGCAGTTATCCCATTCCCATTTTGGGTTGGCTGAACTCCCCTTTGGCAGAGTTCAGCCTGGATCTGATGCCCACCACAGGTCCCAATTAACCTGGATAGCACATTTTGGCACATCAACCACAAGCAATGTTGTGCCAGACCACCCTGAGCCCTGCTGCTACAGCAACCTGCAGGCCGTGGGGAGGGGGGGTCTGAGCCCCTGCTCCTCACCGAGGTGCCAAAAAGGAGCAGGGGCTGCCTTTGGGCATCTTCAGCACTAGCCAGGCAGGGAAAGGAGCACAGCACTTCAAAGGAAGCAGTCTGGCAGTGGTGCCACCCGCATGGCTCCTCTGCCAGGACAGCCCCATGATCTCCATCCCACCCTCAGCCCCCCACCCCGTGAGCTCCCTCACCTCCTTGTTGTTCCCCTCCGAGAAGTTGGGGACGCACTCCACCAGCTTGGCCATGGTGCCAGGGTCTGTGTGCACCCCACAGCCCCCTGCCCAGCTCCTGGTGCCCCGTGGGTCTGCCCGCTCTGTCCTGTGTCCCCCCCCCGTGGGGCAGAAGCTGCAGCCAGCCGGGTGCCCTTTCCCCGAGCTGGGGTTTCTCATTAACCACATTGATCGTGGCCAGGAGGCAAAAAGGGTCTTGGATAAACAACATGCTGACGTCCCCTTCTGGGTCTGGAGTGGCTCTGGGCACCAGGGTGGTGCCTGCTTGCCAGGGCCAAGGTCCTTGCCAGGGGCAGCTTTCAGCACTAATTACCAACCAGCACCAATTAATTGCTTGGAGATGATGATGACACATGATGAAAAGCATCTGCTGTGACCAGCACAGCGCTGTGGTTGCCAGGTGGGGCAGCCTGGTCCTGCTCACCGCACAGCAACACCCTGTGGAGGGGGAGGCAGCAGCTCCCCGAGCCCCCCACGGCGTGGTGGGCACCCCAGAAAATCCAGCACGGGGTCTGGGGGGGG